GCCTGTTTACTGGGAACTGGGGGGAGGGGGCATCTTCAAACACGTTTCCTTCGATTGTTTGTAAACTGCTGATGCAGTCCGGCCAAAGTCCCCCGAAAAGTGTTGTGATGCGCATTTGGTCATATCCACATGTTAATTTGCGCAAAATAAATATTAAATTATTATTATTATATTATTATTTCAAAGGATACACTTATCAGGTCACCCTCGGCAAGAAAGTGACGCATCATTAATTCGTCTTCCGCAGATCGTCGTCTCTGTTCACAAACACAGAAACGTTACACTTTAACCTCTCGAGATATTAATTAGTAAGTCTTCCATCGAGCTGCTATACAAGTCTTGGTAAATTAGTGTGGAGAATTTGATCTCTCAGTATAGAAGATCCACTATTGCCGATCAGCAGATCTATGTTCCTCATTTGTTTGCTGGTTTACCGGGATTTTAATTTTCTGAAGTGTGAGTCGTTTCATCCAACATAATCAGCTCAATCATTTCAATATATCAACAAAGTTGAAATGGTAAATTGGCCACCGTTACGATTATAAAAGCTGACGTTTCGAGCGTTAGCCCTTCCTCGGAGCGAATAGAGGAATTGTGGGTTGTGTTTGCTTTTAAAGGCAGAAAATGGAGCTACGTGACTGGTGGGAACATGGCAACGAGAAAAACACGAATAAATTAGTGGAATGTAAAGCGTTCGTTGATACCTGTGGGATTTAGACTGCCGGTTTGAAAGATGAGCTTTTTTTCAATATTACAAAGCAAAACCCTTTGCCACTCTCCCCCTTCCCCAAGTTGTTAGTGATAAAATACAGAAATAGAGAACTAAATGAAGCCTTTTGATGACAAGCATTGCTTATTCTGTAAAACTTTTGTAGATTCTGTATGAGTACTAGTTGTATTGTTTCTCCCTCTCTCAGGGGTGGAAAGAGCTTTTCTGAATAATAAATAAGATTGCCCAAGTGATGAAGAGTCTAGTTCTAGTATGGTTATGCAAAACATGGTTACAAAAATAGCATAAAAATGATATGCAAGAACAAAAACAGTGACAACAAAACTAGAACTTTTTTTTACCAGTTCACCACCAGGTAAATTTACTGAAGAAAGCAGCAAAACCGAGTCCAGTCTGGAAAAAGTTTCCACTTTCCATCTCTTCTGTCCAACCTTGAAACAAAATAAATACTGCTTTATTCACAGCTGTTAAGAGGCACTGTCAGTAAAAATCAGATATGATCATCAAAATCGCGGACACACTGAGGCAAAAATCGATTTCGCTCATACTTTCTATATTGACAGACCCTTGTACCAAAGTAACCGAAACAGGGTTAGTTTTTTCTAATCTTTTTTTTTTGAGAGTAATTAAATAAAAACGGTCGAGTACGGATCGAGCTAAATTTCGATATTCGAAATGGCGAAATTCTGTCATATTCATGGCTTGCCAGCGTAAGTCGAAAATTATCTGTGAGTTTTCCTTTGCACTAACATTATAATTAGGGCCTTGAACAATTCATTGATGACATGAAAAGCAGCTATGTTCTCGTTATAAATATTTTAT